TCAAAAGCATGAGCAACAAAAGCAAAAATAAACAGGATTACATCAAACCAAAGAGATTCTTCACGGAGAAATAGTCAACAGAGTGAAAAGACAAAATTTACAAATTATGTATCTGATAAGGGATTAATATTTATATCTGAAAGGAACCCAAACAACTCAATAGCAAAAATCAAATAATTCAATTAAAAAATGGGCAGGGCTTGGTGGTAGAGTGCTTGCCTAGCATGTGTGAGGGCCTGGTTTCAAAAAAAAAAAAAAAGACTTGAGAAGATAGTTTCTAAAGATGACAAATGGCCAACAGCCTTTTTAAAGTTTACTCCTATAAAAAATGTTCATTATCACTTTCCATCAGGAAAATGCAAATCAAAGCCATAGTGAAATATCACCTCACCCCAGTTAGAATGGTCAGTGATGATGACACGAGCTGGGGACACTGTGGAGAAAAGGAAACCCTTCACACTATTGTTGGGAATGTCAGTTAGCATAGCCATTAGGGAAAAATGTATGGAGGGGCCTTAAAAAATTAAAAGTATAATTATCATGTGATTGACTCTCCCACTACTGGGTACATATCTGAAGGAAATGAAGTTAATACATTGAAGAGACCTCTGCACTCCCATGTTTAGTGCAGCTCCATTTACAATAGCTGAGATATAAAATCAACCTAAATATCTATCAACAGATGAATGGATAGAGAAAATGTGGTATATGTATACATATTGTGAATACTGTGCAGCCTTAAAAAGAATGAAATTCTGTTATTTGTGACAACTTACATGAGCCTGAAAAACATTAGGCTAAATGAAATAAGCCAGGCACAGAAGATATATACCACATGATCTCACTCACCTGGAGTCTGAAACAGTTAATCTTATAGAAGTTAAGAGTACAATAGCGATGGCACTCTGAAAAGAGAGATTGAAGATGATATCAGAAAATGGACAGACATCCCCTGCTCCTGGGTAGGAAGGATTAATATAGTGAAAATGGCCATACTTCCAAAACTGCTATATAGATTTAATGCAATTCCAATTGAGATCCCAGCAGCATACTTCATAGACCTAGAGAAAACAATCCAAAAATTCATTTGGAACAAGAAGAGACCCACAAGAGCAAAAGCAATTCTAGGTAACAGAGACATGGCGGGGGTATCACAATCCCCAACCTGCAACTATACTACAAAGGTACTGTGATAAAAACAGCATGGTACTGGCAAAGAAACAGACCTGAGGACTAGTGAAACAGATTAGAAGATGCAGAAACAACTCCAGACACACTCAGCCATCTCATCTTTGATAACTGAGCCAAACACCCTCACTGGAGGAAAGATAGCCTCTTTAATAAATAGTGCTGGAAAAATTGGGCTTCAACTTGCCAAAGATTAAAACTAGACCTATGTCTCTCACCATGCACTAAACTAAAATCAAAATGGATTAAAGATCTAAATATTAAAATAGAAACTCTGAACCAGTTGGAACAGAGGTTAGGTAGAACTCTTGAAGACATTGGTGTAGGAAAAGATTTTATGAACAAAACCTCAGTTGCCCGTGAACTAGCACAAACAATCAACAAGTGGGATCTCTTCTTATTAAAAAGCTTCTGCACAGCAAGAGAAACCACCAGCAGTGTGAAGAGACAACCCACAATGTGGGAAAAAATCTTCCCCTGCTCTTCCTCAGACAAAGGTCTACTGTCTCGAATCTATAAAGAACTTAAAAAGATCAGACCTCCCAAATTTAAAGACCCAATCTGAAAATGGGCATCTGAAATGAACAGACACTTCTCAGACAAAGAAGTAGAAATAGCAAACAAATACATGAAAAAAGGTTCAACATCACTGGTCATTCGAGACATGCAAATGAAAACAACGCTGAGATTCCACTTCACTCCAGAAAGAATGGCTGTTATCATGAAATCAACCAATAACAAATGCTGGCGGGGCTATGGGGAAAGAGGAACCCTGCTCCACTGCTGGTGGGAGTGTAGACTGGTGCAAGCACTGTGGAAATCAGTATGGAGATACCTCAAAGAACTAGGACTGGAAGTCCCATTTGACCCTGCTATTCCACTGCTGGGGATCTTCCCCAAAGAATTAAAAGAATCATACCACAGTGATATATGTGCGTCCATGTTCATAGCAGCACAGTTTGTAATAGCTAAAACTTGGAAACAGCCCAAATGCCCATCAACTGGAGACTGGATAAAGAAAATCTGGTTTTGTAATAAAATGGAGTACTACTCAGCCATAAAAAGTGAGAAATTAGAGACATTTATAGCTAAGTGGATGCACATTGAGGCAATACTCTTAAGTGAAATAAATAGGACACACATGTATAAATACTGAATAGTTTCTGTGGTGTGAGAAACTGAACGTGTAAATAAGGACTAAATGTATAATAGGTAACGTGAAATAGGAAGAAAAGGGGCAAAGGGGAAGGAAGTGGGAGGGCTAGGGGAAAGGATAGAAGGGAATGGAATTAATATGAGAAAATGGAAAACTAGGAACAAAATCTTTGTAAATAGGGAGGACTGGAGGGGTTGAAGGGAGGGCTGGGCAAGGGTGAAAAATAAGAACCAAGAGAGACTATGTAAAGGTGCAAATTTCCAATGATGAATGTCATTATATTGTATACCTAAAATGTACCAATGATTAGAATGAATAATCCATAATGTAAAATAGGAAGAAAAGGTCCAAAGGGGTATGGGTAGTGGGACAGGCAGGGGAAAGGAAAAATGATGAGAAGTGGAAAAAATGGAAATAAAGTCTGTAAATAGGGAAGGGTGGAGGGCATGAAGGGAGGGCTAGGAATGGGGAAAAAATAAGAACCAAGATGCATTATGTAAAGGTACAATTCCCAGTGAGAAATGTAATTGTGTTGTGTACCTACAATGTACCAATAAAAGAATTTAATACAAAAAAACAAAAAAAGAAAAAAAAAGAAAGGCAAGGCTATAGCTAAAATAGTTTCAGGCATCAGTCCAAAGGTGAAATAAGGAAGGATACAGAGAACAGGGAGCCAGACTGAAAAGGATGAAAATAAGACACTTAAAACAATCAGGCATCCGGTGCAATTGAAGGGCATTCATCAGAATGAAGCCTGGGAACTGTGAGTAGGTGGTGGAATTTCCTTTCTCAGATCTCCTGGTGCATACAACAGGGATTAGTTTGGCAATTTTGTGTGTATCTGGACTAGATAACCTTTCAATCTTCATTTCCTTTTCCTTGTACCCATCTCCTCAACAATCTTACTCACTGAAAATGGCAGTAGGTACTGGCAAGTGGAAGATGTGATAGCAAAGAGGTCACAAGTCCTTTGAATGTCTAATCCTACCACATACACACTAATTCTTCTCTCTTATTTCCCAATCCTGGAAGAACCATGGCTCTCCCACACACAGCATGCCATGATCACCTAACAACAAACACCATCTGTCCCAGGTAAGTGTAATGAACCACGGACTAGCTAATGGGAAAACTATTGTTCTCCCACTCCCCTTGGAGCTGAAGCTCTAACCAAAACTCCTGTAGAACCTGAGTGCACCTCAAGTCTGTATTATTTTAACCTATGATGGGACTCATAGGCTGCAAAAAAAAGAAAGCTAAATTCCATCAGCCCAGGTCATGTTTGGTAGTGTGCCCAGTGAGATCATGGCTGGAGAGGCCAGCATGTGCCTCACCAGAATGAAAGGCTGATAGCCAATGTTGATGACTGATAACATAGAGCTGTGGGTTTGTTTGGTTTCTTGGTGTTTCAAACTGTCAAGTTTGAAGAGGGACTTCCAGACCTAACTTTGAGATGCCACAAGTGACTCACAAATATCTTAGGATGTGACTAAAATTTTCAATATAAACTTGTTCTTACTTTTATTTGCTTCAATTTTTAAACACCTTTTTTGGCTACATGAGAGTTTAAGAAAGCCAGATACCATGTTTGGCAATGGGAATAGGCCCCAAATATACCAATGTATGGCAATTTATTCCAGATTTCTCTTCTTAAAATTATGATATTTTTTATAGGAAAAGGAAAAAAATGGAGACAAAGTCTTTGTAAATAGGGAAGGGTGGGGAAGTGAAAGGAGGGCAGGGGAATGGGGAAAAAATAAGAACCAAGATACATCATGTAAAGGTACAAGATCCCAATGATGAATGTAACTGTACTGTATACCTAAAATGTACCAATAAACTTAATGGAAAAAAATTTTTTTATATTATGGAATTTTTTTGGTTTTGATTTGTTTGTTTGTTTGTTTGTTTGTTTGCTGAGGACAGCTTAGGCTGGCCTCAAACTCATGGTGATCCTTCTGCCTCAGCCTCCCAAGTGCTAGGATTACAGGCATGTACCACCATGCCCAACCTCCTCTACGAATTGTGGATTTCCAAAAGTATAAGAGTTGTTGGCCAGGCTGGGATGTAGCTCAGTGATGGCACACCTGCCTGGCATGCACAAGGTCCTGGGTTTGATCCCCAGTACCAGGAAGAAAAAGTTGTTGGCCTAAGACTTCTAAAGTGAGGATTGAATGCTTTCCCAAGTGACAGCCACAGAGCCAATGCTTTACCACAACTCATCTAAAGAAAGATAAAGGTAAACCAGGCATGGGGGCATGCACCTCTAATCCCAGCACTTGGGAGGCTGAAGCAAGTTTGAGTCCCACCTGGGCAAATTAATAAGACTCTTTCAAAATTTAAAAGAAATATAAAGGTCTGGAGGTGTGGCCCAGCACAAGCCCCTGGGTTCAAAGTTCAGGATTGGGGGGAAAAAAGGTAAAGGTAAGGTAAAAACAGGAAAATAAACATATTCTACCATGCTCTGTGACCCTGAGCAGAAGCTTTCATTCTCCGAGCCTCCTAGTCCTTATGGAAGTATAGGAGATTGCAATCGCAAACTCAAGAATTACATGACATTATTTATATGCCAAGCTCTGCCCCTAGCTTCCTGGAATTTTTATTATTTATGCGTGGCTCCTCCTTCCCTGTCAATCCCTTGATTAAAGAGCTTACTTCCCCCTCTGAAGGCTTCTGAAGTGTGAGCAGCACCTCCTGACTCCTGCCAGAATAAACTCTCCCCAGCATGCAAGCTTTCCCACTCGGCGCCACCTGGGCGAGCCTCAGCCTTGGCCTCCTGCTGCTGCTTGGCCTCTGGCTGGACGGAGGTGTGCGAGCCAAGGAGTTGAAGTTTGTGACAGTGGTAAGTGAGCTTTCTCCTTCCTTTCTAGGAGAATGATAACAGCAGGATCTAAAAAGCCAAGTACCCTTCTGTTGTCTCCCAGAGACCGGGCTCTGTTAAGACTCAGCAAATAATCGAGTTTGGCAACTTCCTCTTAATGAATACATAACATGCGTGTCCTAATGAAAAAAGTTGTACTGATTTTTTTCTTTCTTTCTTTCTTTTTTTTTCCTTCAACAGTGTTATTTGATTACTTTACAACTGCCTTGGATTCGGGTTCCTTTTTTGGGCGCACCCAAATAGGAGAAGCAGCCACTGGTGCTCTTTATACAGTGGGAGCTAACCTGGCTTCATCTGATTTAATGATTGTTTGTTTGTAAACCAAAAACAAGGATTTTTTCCCCCAAAATTAAGTAGCCCCTTCCCCTTATATTTATCAAAAAAGGGGAGCAGATGTTTGTAAACAGCCTCTGTAGCACAAAAGAAAAACTAAACTCAGAGTTTTTGAGAATTTACTGACATATAGATTTAGTTGATCATTGAGGTCATGGTTTTGCCTACCCATGGTGTGTGTGACAAGTTAAGGAGAAGGGGAGGGAGGTGTAAATGCATGGATCGTGTTAGGGAAATAAATACACTGTTTGGAAATATATGGAAGGGCCGGGGATTTAGCTCAGTGGTTCTGCCGCCTGCCTCCCAAGTGCAAGGACTGGAGTTCGATCCCTGGTACCAAAAAAAAAAAGAAGAAATATATGGAAACAGGGTTTGCAAAGTAAAGGGGATTTACTGACTTATATGGGAATCTTTGATTTTCTGTGTGTGGCTCTTTTTTTCTCCCTGTTTCTGTTTCTCTCTGTTTCTCTCTCTCTCTCTCTCTCTCTCTCTCTCTCTCTCTCTCTCTCTCTCTCTCTCTCTCTCTCTCTTCATTCAAGACCCTCCTTATCTTTCATAGGCTCTCTTGCTCTTTCTGGTCCCTTAAATTTTTTATCCGATACAGTGAAAGTGGAATGATTAATAAGTAAATTTTCTTTCTGTCTGAATACTCAATGTTTATTTTTATTATTTGGAAGATACTACCTTTTACTTAAAACTTAAACATGAAATTCCTGTTTCCTCAGCATGGTGTATTCTGAACTTTCTTTTTTACTTTCTGCAGATAATCTGATAACCACGCTTACGTAAATCATGATTCTTAGTACAATTAATCTTTAGTAGACCATGAGTCAACAACAAAAGAGAGAAAAAGATCAGAGAAACACATCATTGCTTTGTATACCAAAGATTTGCCAGCTGTCAGGGTTTTGTGCTGCAAGCACAGCTTCTTATTATGTACCTTCCATAGGGCAACTTGTGAGCTAGACTTCTTTGATTCATGATTTCCTTGCCAACATGTTCAGTAGAAACAAAGTATGGGGACCGTGGAAACTGTACTGTGTCTGCCATTCTTGTCCTATTGGAAACCTGGAGCAAGCTGGTTGAGTGGCAACTTCTTTGTGATTTTAAGGGAACCAACAGTTAACTGCATAAGGTAGATTCTATCCTCTCTGTTTTGCTCCCAATTTCAGCTAACCTCCCTTGGCTATCAAATTGTGAATCTCCTTTCCCCCTCTCCACTCTTGGTTAAAGTGTGTTCAGGAACTACAGAGTAATTCTTCCCTAAGGAAAGCCAAAACGCAAAGTTAGTTATCTAGGAATTAACAAGTATTGCATGGAACTAATATTATTTTTCCTACCATGGCTTCCTTCCATTAATGATAAATGAAGGACAATTTAATGCAGCTTCCTTGGCCCTTAACAAAACAAACTATCTCATGACTTAAGCCAGAAGCTATTACTTTCTCCTTTTTATTGATTATACAGAGTATTTGACTATCAGTGGTTAGATTGTATATTCAGGAAAATACTTGGCAAATTATTAGAAGAACCAGAATAAAAGAACAGAGCCAAGGTATTTACTCTATACCAAGCACTGTTCTGAGAGTTCAGTATAGATTGTGTTACATAATTCTCTCAAAGGACTTATAAAGTAGGGTTGCAATAAAATATGGGACAACCAGTTGAATTTGAATTTCAGATAAGCAGAGAATAATTTTTAGTAGAAGTATGTCCTGAGCCAGGGATGTACCTCAGCGGCACAGCTCCTGCCTGGTAAGTGCAAGGCCCTGAGTTCGATTCCCAGTACCAAAAAAAAAGAGAGAAAAGAGTAGAAGTATGTCCTATGCAATATTTAGGCATCCTGTATTTTTATTTTCTAAGTCCGGCAATCATTCTAAAAGGGTTTTTTAAACTTATTATTTCTATTTTATAAATGAGGACATGGGACAAAAAGAGTTTAAGCAACTTGTCCATAGTCACACAGCTGGAATAAAGCCAGGATTAGAACCCAAGCTGTCTGACCCACAGCCATGCCACTAATCACTAGAAATAAACTGCTGTGTGCATATAATTCAGAAAAGAGAGCTGGTCTGAGATCCCTGTATGGTTTACTATATTAATCTGACTGAGAATCAGCAGATGATTTCCTTGTTTTTGCTCTGTGATCCATGAAAAATAAGTCTCATCCAACTCTGAAAAACTGTTCTTGGCAGAAAGAACAAGAAACTATCCTTGGTTCTTGTTCTTGCCTATGAATAGTCACAATATAATCTTTTGGGGGAGGGGGTGGGTGGGTAGCTGGAGATTGAACCCAGGACTTTTGCACTGAGCTATAGCCCCAATTCTTTTTTGGGGGGAGGATCTTTCATTCTTTCTTTCCTTCTTTTTCTTTCTTTCTTTCTCTTTTTTGAGATAGAGTCTCACTATGTAGTTTGGGCTGTCCTTGAACTCACTATGTAGCCCAGGCTGGCCCCAAACTCACTGCAGTCCTCCTGCCTCAGCCTCCGAGTGCTAGGATTACAAGTGTGCACCACCACACCCAGCAATGACTTATTAATAAGTGTTGCATGAGAAAAAATGGGTTTCCCAAGTCAAATCAGCTTTGGGGACAGAATGTGGGGCAAACTGTGTTAAAAGGTCTCTCTACTACTCAGTCTTCAATAGGCACTGTGGCCCTCAAGGAAAGGATCTAGTAAATTGTTTCTTAAAATGACTATGGCATCCACCCCTCCCTTTTCCCCCAGAGAGACCTTGGAGAATTTTTATTTTTAACTTTATGGAGAGACAATGGTGAGTATGGTGAGTCGTGATGTACCCATCAACCAGCTTAATAATTATTACTCGGGGCCAGTCCTGTTTCCCTTGTATGCCCACTCATTTCCCACATACACTCACTTGGCTTTTTAAAAATAATCTCATGGGGCCAGGGATTTAGCTCAGTGATGCTGGTGCCTGCCTGGCAAGTGCAAGGTCCTAAGTTTGATCCCTGGTACCAGAAAAACAAAAGAACAAAAAACAAAAAACAAAAAACAAAAAAAGTAATCTCATGTATGCATCATATTATTCTGTCAGAAATATGGAAATACCATTTTAAAGCATAATCTCTCCCTTATGCCAGAGTGAAATCACAAAGTGATTTCAGACAGAGAGAAAAACTCCATCTCATTCCTCTGGGGTTTTATAGAGAAAGGGATGACAAGTCACGTTCTCATTCTCGTTGTCTCTTCATTCTGTATGGTTGACTTCGTCATGAATAATTCTTACCCGAGTCATAAGATATCCTCAAGCAATATAGCCTCCAAACACTAAGCACATTGTCTCTACCTGGGATGAGTAACCTCCAAATTGTAGTTGCAGAAAATCAAATAGTGCCATTACATGGTTCAAATTCTTTCTCACACCTAGTCTCAAGCTAACAGTCTAATTCCATTATTGATTTTCTAGTGCTATTTTCCAGAATAGAAGTTGCAGGTTATACTTAGGAAAGCACTAAACAGTCATTAATTCAAGTTCCATCATCATTGGCCAGGTTTGGGACCATACACAGCTCACTTAGTGAAACAGCTGAGTTTCAAGGGCCCCAAATTGAAAGTTGGCATAAGAATGATAACTATGTTTCTTACTTCACAGAGTAGTATTTAAGGTGAAATGACATGTTACACATGTGCAAATGTGAACTGTGATTCAACCATAAAGTGCTGTTGGGAATCATTGGTCTAAAATGGAAGCTTTCCAACTTTTTGGATAAAATCTAAGTGATCTTTAAGTACCTTGTTTTTTGAATTATGATCAAAAATATATATAACATAAAATACCATCTTAACCATTTTTAAATGTAGAGTAAAATGGCATCATGTCCATTTACATATTGTGCTCTCTGTATTACTGTCCATGTCCAGAACACTTTTCATTTTGAAAAACTGAAACTCTGTACCCATTAATCGATAGCTATCCATTTTTCCCTGCTCCTAACCCTTGGCAACCTCCACTCCACTTTCTGTCTCAATATTTACCTTTTTTACCTGCTTCTTTTACTTAGCATAATCTCCCCAAAGTTCTAAATGATGAATCATTATTCTAGAACTTATCAGTTTAATAGGGGTAACTGTGTGATTTAGAGAGAACAAAGAAAGAACAAACGTTTTAGAAAATCATCCTCTACTAGACCTTAGAGTAACTACTTTGCTTGTTTGTCTAGGGATCCCCACCTGTGAATTTTAGCTTACTTTGTCTTAGGGGAGGAACAATTATGTGTTTCCAGTATGACTTGAGGAGGGGAGAGGCTGGAAGTGAGAACAGGGAAGGCTGTGACCATCATTCACACAAAACATTGTGAAGAACTAAATTAGATTAGAAAGCAGTAGAACTGGGAATGAATGGGTACTATTTTTAAATTGTCAAAATAGAATCCCTGTGGATCAAATGTGAATATGAAAGAAAAGACAAAAGTCCAAATAATCCCATTTCCAATTTAGGTTACTGAAAAAATAATGACACGATGAAGATAGGATATGTAAAAGTCATTAAACATTTGAAAACTTTAAAATGTGAGGTATAAACATCAAAGAAATTAGAACAGTCCATACTACACAATGGCACAGTAGTTAAGAGTGCAGGCCCAAGAATTAGACAACCTGGGGTAGAAT